GAAGAGGTTTGTTTCCTTGCTCAAAACTGCAGATTACCCCTTCTGCCTTTTATTTCTCCACTGGATATCAGCTCTGGGGAAGCCCAAAGTTAAGATTTGCAAGCAGTAATAGCCAAACCCTTGGCTATTTATGGCACGATTCTTCATCCACTGAAGTTAATGAGACTTCAAAATCTGCTCCACAGAGAATTTTGGGAGATCCACAGCAACTGGCAGATCCATTAAGTTGGGCTTTGTTTAACAACTGAATTATCCCACTAAAACCACTTGGATTGTGTAAAATGTGAGGCTGAAACCCCAACAAGATGTGACTCAGATCGCCCACTGATGATCAGACAGATGCCCTTAGTTCTGGGATGCTCTTCTCTGTTGGAAAAGCCTTTCTTCCTTTAAGTCTCATTAGCAAGATTCCCCAGCTCCCATCCTGCCTGCAGCGTGTTCCATATGCTTGCTGGTCAGGAAGCCACAGGAATATTTAAATCTCCAGCCCTTTCCCCTTGGCTCCATGTGTTTGACCACACGTCTTTTGTTCCCCCTGCAGGATCTGATACTTGCAGAATTCCTGCACTCAGACCCGGATTTAGCAGGGGGGGGTATAAAGAAAGCCAGGGCTGGATCTGTTGGATTCTCCTGCCCACACTAAAATCTCTTCTGTCTGGTTACAAGGGGCTGGACAACAGAGCTCCTGGTTCTTAAAAAGTGAAAGCATAAGAGGAGGCAGGGAGGTAGGAGATGAGGTAAATTGTCTTCCCCTCCTCACATCACCACCCAAATTTAACTGACAGGATGAAGACCATGGTTTTTCTTTTTGTTTTACAAAACTGACTCTACAGATCCTCCCTGCTTGTGAAAGGGCTGCTGCACTGCATTTGAACAGGTGGAATATTTGGGCAATCTTTTCCAATCAGAGATACAGTGGGAAGATGCTTTTCTGCCTCCAGAAACTGGATCTGGTGTGTGTGAGGAGCAAGGGGAGCGGAGGGATGGAGGTAAAGCAGGTTTTTCTCTTTTTAGGTTTTGTTGAGGACTAGCTTTTATAAAACCCTCTATGAATAAACTCTGATCTCCAGGGCTTGGTGGGCTATATCTGAAGTCAGGCTTTTCCTGAAATCAGGATCTTAAAATCCTTGGGTTTCTCTAATAATTGGGAGAGGATATTTTTCTGTCTCATCCAACTTCCATCCTGTTTAGGGCCTGGGATGTGGGTAAGAATCTCTTCAAATCTGGCAAGCCCTCAGGTTGTGAGCCACCATTCCCACCTGGAAATGGAAGTGCCCTCAGGGATTACCTGGCCAGAACCCAGCTGCACTTACTAATAGTCTTTATAATGTGCCTCAAAAAATGTAAAACTCTGGCTCCAAATTACAGAGACTTTTGCCCCTGCTGTTCCCACTCGATGCTGTTCAGACCCCCACTGTCTCTGATGGCCAGAAACCTCCTCATTTCCAGCCCACACATACTCGCTGCTGGCCTGCACACATTTATTCTTAACACCATGTTTTAGCATAAATACATTTCCCCTTTTGTTGGTATTTTCCCTGTGGTGTTCATTTAGAATAATCAAATTCTCCCTTTGGGCTTTCTTTTTGCCAAGACATTTAGTTCCCTCTTACCAGGCAGCTTCTCCTGCCCCAGTCTACCCTTCAGAATATCTTACTTGAGCTGAAATTACCCACAATTTCCAGGTAGTTCAGATGGGATCTTGCTGGGCTCAATATAATAGTGATGGCTCATCTCTGCAAGAATTACCTGATATTTTCTGAGGTTTAATTTGGCTTTTCCACGGTTTAATTTGGCTGTGTCACTCCCAGTTCTTATGGGATGGACTAATAAACCTGGACCCCTCACCTCTGTCCTTTCCAGCAGCTGAAATTCTCTGTATCAGCCCAGTCTCTGGCCTGGCATTTCATGCTGTTGAATTTCAGCTTGTTTTTCTCACTCCAGTTCTTCAACTCATCTGTTGAAGGTGCCTCTACCAGCTCCAGTGGGACCTTCTGAACACTCTCCTCGACCTCTGCTGAGGTCATTAATAAAAACTGGGAATAGCCTCAAGACTGGGCACTGCACAAGCTGAACAAAACTGATCCCTGCCCAAGGAATGTATCACAACTTCCTTTTTTGCCTTATTTTTCCTGAGGATTTGCAGGGTGTTGAGTCCAAACTGGGGTCTGTCCTGCCCAGTGGTGTCACAGCTCTGTTTCATGGCTTTGGTTTCTCTGGTTTGACCCAGAGCAGCAGCTCTGGCTCCCACCTCTAATGCAGAGATCACACATTTGTGCAGTTTGCAAACCTGGGAAAAAAGCACATTAAGTGTTGATGTAAAGACCCAGCTGGGTCCCTCTCTGAATACACGTGCTGTAATCTGATGGACACATCGGTGATTTCAGATCCTGAAAGTTGAGGGGGTTTTAATTCCTGGTGAACTTTGCTGTGCTCCCTCTTTGTTCTGGTCCTGGAGGGTGAAGATCCAGCTCACCCCACTCAGCTCAAACTTTGCCTCTCCCTGCTGGGTCAGGCTTCCTGCACCTTCCCCAGAGGTGAAGTTTGGAGAGGTGTCCCCAAAATCTAGGAAGAAATCACTGCAACTTGGCCATTAAAATACTGGTTGTCTGTCCCTGGGAAAATCCCTCACATGTGCTAAAATTCTGGTCTTCCCCTGATTTTATTCACTGATTTTTCAGCCTCAGTTTTATTTTCTACTGTAAGAGTTTCAGGTCCATCCCCAGCCCTTGTTCAGCCCCTCATTGCCAACAGGAGGATTTTTGGCTGATGACTGAAGACAGCTTGCAAACTTAAACCTGTCCCTGTTGAAGGCCTTAGTAGAGACTTAGGAGTGGCCTAACCCGTGTTCTTCTTTCTCAACAACTGTAGTTTGGCCAACAATGGTGTTTGGGCTCACATGGTGTGTGTCAAATCCCATTTTGTTGAGGAAAACACAATCCCTCCAGCAAAGATTCAACAGTAAAAATGCCTTTACTCTGGTTTAGCATGGGTGGACGAGCTAAAAAATGAAACAGTGCACACACAAGTTTGTCTTAAGGCAGTCCAAGTGCTCATCCATAGGCAGGGGACTGATTAATGTGCTGTTAGTTCTCAGTGTCCCTGCTTTTGTGCCTTTCCTGGTGCCAGCATGTGACACCAGGCTCGTGATAATGACTGCAAGGAAGACTCATTTATTGCTGCGTGGTGGGGGGCTTTTCAATCTCACACACAAAGGCAGAACGAGATCCAGCAGCTGCAAGTTGGACAAATTCAACCCTGAAATAAGCCACGGTTTCCTGGCTGCAAAAGGGGGAATTAAAGTTTGAAACAGCTTGTGAGGGGAGACGTGGAGTGGCTGTAGCTTGGAGTGCAGGCAAGACTTGCTGTCCCTGTGAAAAGGGTTCCTTTAATGCAGCATTTTGGGAAGAGTTCTGTGATTTCTGTGTGCAGGAGGTCAGCTGAAAGGAGTGCAGAAAGGAGTGCAGCAGAGCTGTCTGGCCTTGGAGGGTGAATTACTGGATGTGATTAAATGACCCTTTTGGTTTGGGTCAGTGAGTTTCTATAATAAAAGGATTGGCTGGCACACGGAGAGGGCTGTGGGCTGCAGCAGCATCTTGGAGGAAATAAAAACCAGTGTCTGTCTCACTGGCTTTCTGATGTTAATAATTTAAGTGTTGCTGTTTAGCAACTGCGTGGTTAAAACCTGCACAGACGTTCATATCCAGATATTTCAGTGGCAGCAGACTTCGATTCTGAGCAGCTCCCTGTTTTTTAAAGATCTTTCCCTTCACAGTGTTTGTCACTTTGCTCTTCATTAGATCCCACTTTGTATCGATCTCCCTCTGGGATGTGGTGGGAATGGGAAGTGCCTTCGACCACAGCCAAGTGCAGAACACACACTGCTGCAAGTGTTGCTATTTTTAGGTCCCAGGAGAAATCTGAAGCAATGATTATCATTATATTTTCATTCTCTCAGCCTTCAACAACAAACTGTGAAGGCTGTACTAAAATGGCCTGCTTTAAACGTTGTGAAGAGTCCCAGAGTGACAGCAATCCCTGAAATTTGGATTTCTAAGGTTCACCAGGTCTGAATATGTACAAAATTGAGGGATTTTTAATGCAGCCTGCGTTTTTTCCAACACACCAACTGGGTTATTGCAAGGAGGTGCTCTCAAAACGTTCCTGCAGCCTTAAATAGTGGTGGGTGAGATTTTCAGAAGTCATTAAAAGTAGCTGAGCTTTGCCACAACGAAAGCCAACAGGAAAACCTTCTCAGTGCTCTGATAGCAAAAGGATCAGACCAGAAGTGGGGTGTTCTGAAGTCAAGTTCAGTTGGTTCTGTATCCACAAGGATTAGAGGTTTGCAGTGACTGAGTGATCACCTGCATGGTTGGAATTTGCAGCAGACCAGGGAGCTCAGCAGCGTTTTGGTACCTGAAGAGCCAGGTCTGGGACGTTGCCACTGGATCCAAAGGTGTAGCCAAGACTAAATTTTATGTCTTTCAGGGAAGAATTGTGTAAAAGGCAGTGGAAGGGTTTTTGTGCAGCATTGTAAGGAATAATTTCAAAGTAATCAACAGAGCCATTGGGTTTTTAAGGACAAATCCTTTGCTTCCAGGTATTCAGCAGTCAGGAACTGAAGGAAACTCTCTTTGGTTTTTCATTGCCCATCCACGTAACAAACATAATAAATGATGCTGAGTTAGATCATTAACTTCACCAATTAAAATTATTAATGAAGTTGCCTTTTTAAACAAGGATTCTCTTTATTTTTTTCTGGTTTCTGAGACCAGCCCTGGTCACTGAAAACCTCTGATCCCACTATGAAATCCATAGTTTTAGGAGCTGGAAGGAGAGCTGGGCAGGTAAGAGGAGCCCTCTGTCACTGTATCAGTGGGTTTGTGTTCACAGTTCACTAGTCCATGTTTAAAAACACCTTGCTGCCAGTTTAAATCACAGCTGGGCTCAGGCACATTCTGAGCTTCTCACCTGCTGACCAAAATCTCCTTTTGCTCCAGCTTGCAGATTCCCTCGTGCCCTTGGAGATCAAGCCTGGCATTTCCTTGGCAACAGTCTCTGCTGTGCTGCACACCAAGGACAACAAGCACGTGCTGCAGGTACAGGACAGTGGGAAAGGGGGAAAAATATCCTTACCTGGCTCTCCTGCCATCTGGGATCTCAGCTGTCCTCATGAGGAGCTCCTTCCCCACCGGAGCAGATCCTTGTCCGAGGCTGTGCCAGTGAGGAATTACACGTGGAGTGGGGAGTGGGATGCAAATAAATCTCTCTGCCCTCTTTTCCTTGGCCATGTGCCTGGCTGAGATAAAAGGGGAAGTGAGATTATTCCTGAAGGGAGGCTACAAATCATCCTGCTCTCTTCCATAACCAGGAGCAGCATCAGTCAGTCTCCTGTGGACTCTGAGCTGAGGGTCAGAGGAGAGAGATGACCTGGAACATCAGACCTGGGAAGGGACTGTGCCTTCAGTTGTCCTGTTCCCCAGGAGGCAGGTTGTACATCCTTGTACAACGTGTTACATCCCTTCCTGCCACCTCCCTCAGGCTGGCAGTGGAATTCCTGGCATTAGTGCTCCTCAGGAGGAGGTGATGTCCTGATCCCCTTTCTCCTTGGATACACGAGCCTGCAGGGACTCAGTGAAGAGCCCTTCTCCTCCTGGGCCCAGCATGCTTGGGAAGAGGGCCCAGGATGGAATTGTCTTTAATGCAGGGACAGAGAGCTGGGTTCAGGATTTGTGTCAGTGCACAGCAGACAGACTGTCCTTCTCTTTCCAAGTCTGTTCCCTAGAAACACCGAGCAGCGCTGGGAAAATGGAATTGTTGCAGTGGAATTGGTCTGAGCCTGCTTTGTCCTTTGTGTTGTTCATTTACTCAGATTCCTTCTGCCAAATAAACTTAGACCTGGCCTTAAAATGCCAGAGCCCTCATAAATGGCTGGAGCTGAGCCAGCCCAGTGGTACCTGTCAGGACTGGCTGAGCCTGGGAGCTCTGGAGTTAGGCAGAGCCCCTGTGTAGGCAAGCCCCAAAACTCAGTTTATGATCCCAGCATCATCTGAGTGATTAATTCCCAAATGACATGATCCAAGCACACAGTCCCACCAGCCAACAGGGAAATGGTGGGATTGGTGAAGTGACTCCAGTCACTGCAGCAGCTGCCACCCCCTCCCTGTCTGTCCAACTTCTTCCTGAAGACTCATTTTCCAAGGCCAGCATTCTCTTGACATCCCTTTTTTCTCCTTCCCTGAGTATTTCTCTGAACTTGCCCATTTCTCAACCTGTTGCATCCTTCAGAGTGTGATTTTTTTTTTTCCCCTGTGCACCTTCTCATCCATCAGCTCCCTCCAAAGCCTCCCCAACCTCCTGCCAGCAAGAAGAGGAAGCGAGTGAGTGATGATGTGCCGGAGTGTAAAGCTCTGAAGTCGTTGCTGAGCGGCTCCATTCCTGTGGACCAGTTTGTGCAGACTCTGGAAAAGGTGAGGATTGTTGGTGGCAAGGGAGGATCCAGCAGATTTCTGTTAATCTCAGATGTGCTGCTTTGGTGGCAGAGAGGGGGGAAATAATTCTAGTGTAGCTTGCAGTGGAGAAGGGCTGGGTTAGCAAAGTATTCCATGGAAAGTGCCTGGAGGGAATAGTCCCCCGTGGAGTCGTGTCCTGATTATAGAGGTTTCATGTCAGTCATTCCCTCCTGCTTTCCCATGGAAGCAGAGCTTTTGGGTCACTCTGGGTGGGTGAATTTCCCCACGTAACTTTTTGGATTCAGCAGCTGATTTCCAGTAAACTTCAACAGTGGGGAGGAATTCTCAAAAGCATTTACATTTCCACAAGTTCTGTGAGAGGGAGGTGACCAAGTGAAGAAGAGATCCTGGGAATGTCTCCACTGGTGGAGCAGCTTTCTGGGGAGCTGCAGGATGGGGGATTTAGTGGCTGAGCTTACAGGCAGTTGGTTGCTGCTCTGAGGAGCCTTGTCCTTGTCTGAATGACTTCTGGGAGAAAAATAGCAGGAAAAAGGGCAGGACTGTGGCCTTCCTGTACCTGAAGGGGCTACAAGAAAAATGGAGAGGGACTTTGGACGAGGGATGGAGGGACAGGACAAGGGGGAATGGATCACACTGACAGAGGACAGGGATAGATGGGATATTGGGAAGAAATTCTTCCCTGTGAGGGTGGTGAGGGGTTGGAATAGAATTCCCAGAGAAGCTGTGGCTGCCCCATCCCTGGGAGTGTCCAAGGCCAGGTTGGACGGGGCTTGGAGCAACCTGGGCTAGTGGAAGGTCGGGGTTGGAACTGGCTGAGCTTTAAGCTCCCTTCCAACCCAGACCATTCCATGATCCCATGAAATTCATCCTCTCCCCTGTGCCCTGGGTTTTCATCTCTCCCTGTTTTCCTGAGCTGTGGTAACATCCCTCTCTTCCCCCCTCCCCACCCCAGCACGGGTTCAGCGACGTGAAGGTGGAGGACACGGCCAAGGGCCACATTGTCCTGCTGCAGGAGGCCGAGACCCTCATCCAGCTCGAGGAGGACTCCACACACATCATCTGTGACAATGATGAGCCTCTGAGGGTCAAACTGAGAGACCTGGTCCTCAAATTCCTGCAGAAGTTTTAGCTCCTGGACATCCCACTGCTCCTGCAAGGAGAGAGCCCAGAGCGGGGAGACTCAGAGCTCTCTGGTGAGAGATTGGATTTGGGGATTCAAAGAGAACAAGAAACCACCTTCCCCTTCATGGAGAAGCAAGGAAGTATTTTTAATATTTGCCTATTTTTTAAATCTTATTTTCAAGCTGTTTTGGAATACTTTGGAGGAGATCCCTGTTGTGTAAAATTGGGAGTTGGAATATTCCAGGAGCCACGAACTGCAGAGTGAATTAACTCCAGTGCGTGTGAACAGCACCAGGGTAAACTGCTGCTCCTCTGTGTGACCCTCAGCAGTGTCTGCCCCCGTCCTTCCCCTGACAAAACTCTGTAGGAATATGGAAACAATGGCCTGAGAGATTTGTTTTTCCTCCCACTGTTTCTTCCCAGTCACCAGATCCAGTTTTTCCTGTCCTCCATCCACATTGGACACGTGTACTGCACTGGCACGAGGAGGATCAGAAAGCTGGTGAGGCAAAGATTGTAGAAATAAAAGCAGAAAAGGGGGGTCTGATGGACATGTGGAATATGGGAAGGGCCTGGCCATTCCCTGCACAAGCAGAGGGATGTTGGAAAAGCTTTATCCTTTAGGAATTCCAGGTGTTTGTTGATGCTGCAGCTTCACCTCTTATAACCACATCTGTCCACGGAGCTCCAAGCTCTTCACTGAGCCAAACTAAAGCTGGTTCCTGCTGGTTTCCTCCATCATCAGGGGAGGAAATACCTCAGGAAGACACTTAGGGGAGTCCATAAAGTGGTTACATTCCTAGTGCTCATAAAAAACCTTGGAGATTTAAGTGCCTCTTGTTTCTACCTTCCAAAAAACTGTCCTTCCAGCCCCCACATCCCAAATCCTGGGTGGAACACTGAGTCATTCACACAAAGCCACCTGTACTGCAGACCTGGGGAGGGTTTTCCCTCCCCAAATCACATATTTTGGGGGCCTAAACTTAGTCAATAGTTTTGCTTTCACAGGCGACCGATTTCTGGGATTTACGGCTGTTTGGTTTTTATTGGGTTGTTTTGTATTTATTTGGTGTCAAAAAAATAAAAAGCATTAGTGAGACTGCCAAGGGGGAAGCACATCCCAGGGTTTGTAAAAGCATCTCCATGCCCATTCCACATCCACTGTGTCCTGTGAAACACAACTGCTCCTTCAGTCGATGGCTTTGGGGTGGTTGGGGCAGGGCAAGAACAGCCCTGCAATAAAACCCTTTTGCCACTGGAATTCCCACATCCCATTAAGGATTTCTGGTGGACTGGATGCACAGATCCCAGCATCCACACCTTCACTTTGTGTGTGAGAAACAGGATCATGAATGGGATAAAACACTTGTTGCAGTAACATGAATCCTCCTGAGGGTTTTGCAGCATTTGCAGCAGCTCAGCTTCTTCACTGTCACTTAAAGATGGAATAAAAGAATTGGGAATATTTCACCTGGTGATTAAATCTCCAAAGGGATTATTCCCAACCCACAGAGGCCATGGGATAAATTCATCTTTCTGCCTTTTACCTCCAGTGTTGATCCCACTGCCCCAGAGCCTTTGTTTTCATAGAATCATGGAATGATTTGGGTTGGAAGGGACATTAAAGCTCGTCCCGTTCCACTCCCTGCCATGGGTGGGGAACCTTCCACTATCCCAGGTTGCCATGGTCTTCACGGCTTTCCCAAGGCTTTCCCACCTTCCTGAGAAGGAAAAAGTAAAAATGAGAAGATTTTTTTTTACATTTTTCTTCTTGTCCTTTTGAGCAGGGAAACTTCTTGCTGTTCCATCAGCCCAGCACGTGAAAGTGGATTGTTTTGTTCTGAACAGGAGGGTCGTGCCTGCTGGAAAAATAAACATCCTGGGGAGGGGGGAATCCTTAATGGAAAATCAGGATTACAGCAGCAAAAGGAAGGGCTTGTTCCTTCTGCACAGAGGAAGGGAAAGCAGCAGCATTTCTTCGTGCTGGGTCAGTCCTGCAGAGTAACCATGGCAGCCCAGGCAGGGGGAGGAGTGGGGATGGGTTTATCCAGAGATGCTCAGTTTACTGGGAAAAGAACAGCAAAGGTTCTTGGTTTCACTCTCTTTCTTCCAGAAAGGGGAAAAAAAAATGCCCTTGGCCCCTGTTCCATTGTTCCATGGATCCCACATCCCACCCTGAGCTCCTCCTGCCTCTCTCTGCTGCTCCCCAAATGAAACACAAATAGCGGGGGGTGTTTGCAGCTGGGCAGGGGATTAATTCCCAGTGAGATTCCCAACCCTGTGCTCCCACAGCACAGCCAGGGCTCAGGAGAAACGGGGAGGGAAGGTTAAAATCAGCTTTCTGCACTCAGATGGCTTTTATGGAACAGATATTCCTGTTTTCTCTCCGTTGATGGAGCAAGTTGTTTAATTCCAGGTTCATATCCAGACACAGTCCCTGGGATCTGTCACCCAGGGATCTGTCCCTGGGATCTGTCACCTCTGTGGGCACTTGGACATGGTGAGCAGGGGGAAGCTGGAGCAAACTGGGGGATTTGTGTCCCGTCAGCAACTCAGCTTTGGGGAGATGTGGGAACATGGGAGCAGAGGGATTTGGGTTTGGCTGCACGTCCGTGCCTGGGCAGGGTCAGGGTGGGAAAGGTGGGATCAAACAGGTCCCAGTTGCCTGTCACCTGGGAGCTGTGAACTGTCACCCATTCCTTGAGGATCCATGAACTGTGACCCCATTCCTTGAGGATCCATGAACTGTGACCCCATTCCTTGAGGATCCATGAACTGTGACCCCATCCCTTGAGGATCCATGAACTGTGACCCCATCCCTTGAGGATCCATGAACTGTGACCCCATCCCTTGAATCCCTTGAGGATCCATGAACTGTGACCCCATTCCTTGAGGATCCATGAACTGTGACCCCATCCCTTGAGGATCCATGAACTGTGACTCAAATCCCTTGAGGATCCATGAACTGTGACCCCATCCCTTGAGGATCCATGAACTGTGACTCAAATCCCTTGAGGATCCATGAACTGTGACCCCTCCCTTGAGGATCCCATTCTTTCATCTCCCCTTCCCTTCTCCTTCCCCACTTCCCCACCCATGGAAACACAGCAGCCCTTTTGCTTTCCAGCCTGGCAACGAATTCCAGATAAACTTCTTAAAACACCAGGGATAAAATCCCATTTTTCTCCCTAAAGCCCTTCCCAGCCCGAGGTGTAAATCCTGCACAGCCCAGACATGGCTCAGCACAGGCCCAGCACAGGCCCTCTGGAAAAGGGCCTGGATGTTGGGATTTCTGTGCCCCTGCAGCCCCAGTGCTCCCCCTTCCCTGCCAATCCCATTCCCAAACACTTGTACCAGGAAAGTGATGCTGCTGCTCCAGCTCGTGGGTGGAAAACACTCATCCAAATCCACCTGGGAATGACAGACCCGGTGTGGGCTTGGGGCCCACAGGAGTGTTTTCCTGCATTTCCAGCTGGGGAAAAAAAAAAACCAAACCCAGTAATTTCCCTCTTGCTGCCCATCTCAGCTGGGAAGGGACGAGCAGGTCCTTTCCTGGGCTCTGGCAGGAGCTGCTGGATTTTATGGCACTGATGGGCAGAACAGGACAATTCCAGTGAAACTGCTTTTTATCAAGGAATGTGTGATCCCAAGGGGAACATCGAGGGCACTTTGTAGTGCAGAGGAGTGGAGTGTAAAGCACTTCTCACCGCCCTCCCTCCCGGGAGCAGGGAATGAATCATTAATGGGATTGATGGCTTCCTCCTCTCCCCAGTGCCTGCTTCCTCATCCCAAGGTACAATCCCTCATCCAGGCAAAAAGGAAATGGAACAAGAGCCCCGGTGCTGTGGCTCCTCTCACCAGGCACAGCAGTTCCAAGAGATTTTTATCTGCTGCCCCAGGGCTGGAAAAGCCTCCGGATCAAATCGGCTTCAGCTGAGCCCGTGCCCAAGATGCTGTTGGGGCTCCCTGGGGAGCCAGATCCCAAACCAGCTTCCCAACCAGGCCAATTCCCTGGAACCAGTATTTCTGTGCCCTTCACTGCCAGCGACATTTCAGCTTCCCTGCAATATTCTGGGTAGAGACCTCAGGAATTTGGGAGGCAGGTCCTGGACTGAGCATCCACCTCCTGCCTTCCGGGACCAAAATAATGTGGGGGTTCCCTGAAACCTCTCCTGGAAATAAAGCCGGGCACGAACAAATCCCTACCCCAAGGAAGCAGGGAAAAGAAAGGGCACATTTCCCAGGGGAGCAGCAGCAAGGGCAGGAACAGAGGGAACAAGTGACCACGGAGGAAGAGGCTGCTTGGGAGGGAAGGCAAAGAAAAAACCAGCAGGAAGGAAAAGAGAGGGAACCCAGGCACATGCAGGAAATCCTGTGGGATTTCCAGCCCATGGCTTGTGGCCCAGCCACCTCTGTTTGTCCCCTCTGCAGATTTGAAGCTGGAAATCTGTTTACAAATCCCATGGATCTGTTTGTGTTTTCCACCTCAGCCTCTGGCACAGGAGAGGGAGCGGGAGCATCCCCCGAGCCGGCCATGCCATAGGAACGGCCCCTAAAGGATTTCTCAGGATCCCTGGGCAGGGCTGGGCAGGTTTGCAATCCCAGCCTGGAAATCTCCAGACAACTCTTCCCGAGGTGGCTCCCAACATCCCCCTGTCCCCGCAGGGCAGAGATTCCATGGCTGTATCCCGCCAGTGGAGTGGGCTCAGGGTCAGGTGCCCTTCGGTGGGTACAGTTGGTGATGCAGAAATCCAGGGGTTTCCAGCCCCCTGGGGGGTGTCCCCGATGCCACCAGGAGCCCTGTGCCACCGTGGCACTGGGATGGGATATCCCGGGAAGCTACAGAGGGGTCCAACCCCTGCGGGGGCTCCCGTGGCCCGGCCACGAGCTCCCTGAGGGACGAGAGGGGGTTTAGCACCATGAGGAGTTTCCACCATTCCGGAGCAGCCCTTTGCTCCTGCTCCCTTGGGAATTCCAAGCCTGGGAGGTGCTTATTTTTGGGATGCTCCAGGGGCCCGGAGCCGCCCCAATCCTGGTCCCTCCCCTGTCCCGACCCCAGCAAAGAGGCGCCGAGCCGCTCCCAAGTTAAACTCTCCATTTTATTGGATCCTTTTACAAAAACCTCAACATTTGTGCTCGTGTCGAAGGAGTGTTTCTCGTCCCTCCGTTTTCGTTGGATTTTTAAATCCTGGCGCTCGCGGAGCTGCAGCAACAACCGCGGCACGGGGTGGGGGGGCAGGGCCGTGGGACAGACGATCCTATTTACAGCGGGAAAGGCCTCGCTCCACGCCCGGGGGAAGCAGCAGGAAAACTCTGGGAAGGGGAAAAAGGCCTTTCCCTCGGGAAAGGGGCGGCCGCCGAGAGCCCTTCCCGTCTCCTCGGGGCCAGAGTGGCTCCGGGAGCTGGGATGGATCCTACAACCAAACCTGAGCTTTGCAGTGAGCCTGGGACCCCCTGGAAATGCCGGGAGAACGATGGGGGGTAGCAAGGGAGGATGTTTGGGATGGTGGAACCGCTCCAGGAAAGCCCCTCTGCTCCCTGGTGGTGGAGGAAAAGTCCAGGGACAGCTCAGATCCTGGGATGTCTCAGGAGCTGTGAATCCCAAGTCAGTGCTCCAGGGGGTTTGGTGGTTACTTGGGAAAGAGGGAAACAGCAGCAGGATGGGAGGGACAGCACCAGCAGATGTTCTTGCTGGCATTTCTTTTCCTCACAGAATTCCATCCCTCCCTGGGATGTCCCCCCCCGGAGCAGCCACTTCATCCCTTCACCCCCAAATCCTTCCCCTTCGGGGGGCTCAGGAAGTTGGGATCCATCCCCCGATATCCACAGTGATCCCATCCACACACATCCCAACCCTGCTCAGCCACAGTGCACAGGGAGATCCTTTTAACAAAACAACACTGGGGCAACAGGCCAAAGAGCCCGGGGGGAGGAACAGTTGGATTTGCTCCACTGATCCCTGATCTCGACTGGCTTTGAACAGAAACACTCCGAAGGAAGGCGGAATTCCCATCCTGGGGCTCTGACAGTGCCGACAGAGCTCATGGAACACCAACACTTCCCAGCCTGTCCGCCTTCCCCAGGCTCCTGCAGCACAGGAAGGACAACATTTCCCTTCAGATTTTGGGAAATCAGTTGCTGAGCAGGGTCTGTGTCTGTATAAAGTGCAATCCACGCCCAACCATTCCCATTCCGTGCTCCCGCCTGGCCGGGAGGGCTGGGAAGGCAGAGCCGACTCCAAGGCTGGGCTGGACCTGAGCTAATGAACCACCTCCTAATGAGGGCGGAATTAAAGCTCAGGCCCCTCGGGATGCTGGGGCTGGAGCAGCTCCTGACAAAGTGCCACATTCCCACTCCGAGCAGGAGCACAGAAAGTCCTTCCAGGTGTTTCAGAGCCTCGCAGGAGTCTCCCATGGAAATTTTAAGGAGACTGTGAACCTTCCCGTGCTCCCTTTGGAGCATCTGATG